GCATGGAAGGCAGACAATCGATGTTTCTCTCTCACACTGATGTTTCTTTCTCTTTTTCTCTCCCTTCCTCTCTCTTGGCATGTCCTCAAGTGAGGATTAAAAAAATACAATAAGACAGGCTGTTAAAAGGTCAAATAAGTGGTAGAAATGAAACAGAAGGTTAACATCACCGGTGATAAGTCAAGTTGATGTCATGTGTCCCTTGCTATGCTGTAGTGAGAAGAGTACTTTATCTCTATTGTAATCTTCCCTAAAACTCATAACCATGCACCACAGACATCAGTCCATGTATGTTTTTATCTTGGCCTACTTCCTTCTCAATAGAAACTGGATTACCAGGTGTACCACCTGAGGCTCTCCCACTGGGAACAGTTCCCCTATCCACTGTCTGCAAGGGCCAACACTGATTGTAGGGATAGAGACACAACAATACAGTTTTGGTTTACACCAATATACCAAGCTAACTCATTAACAAACAAAGCTCAGTTTATGTTTTCTTCTTTCATTACATGCTTATTGGGACCTGTCATGAGTCAACAACTGTGAGCTAAGAAAGGCATTAAGTCAGAGTAAGGGATGTCATGAAGATCTACTCATGCAACTTGCTTGTGCCCAACTCAATCTCAGTCTCAAATATAGTGCCCTTGGGTACAGCCAACTTTATGATCTGGTGAATCTAGTAACACTTGTTCCTGATGGGTAGTTCTGGTTGCACAGTCATTTACCATCTCATGTTCAGATTCACAGTCCCTTTCAAAGACCAGTAGCATACCAGGAACTGCTTTTCTGAATGGTATATAGTTCTCTGATGATGACAATATAGCCTTGCCCCAGAAGCCCAAAATTCTGCACCAAAACTCTCCTATTAGGGCTTGACTGGACTCTACAAAGCATCTATTTATACCATAAATACTTCTAGGGCCATAGAGTCTCCTGGTTCATATAGCCCAGGCAGCAGAGATGCCAATACTGCAACCTGGATCTCATGTAGACCTTTCTTACTTCGGAAGTCCTCTAAATCATTCAATAAATGAGTCAGGGTAGCATTCCCAAGTGAAAATTATGCTGCCTCCAAAACCAAAAGAGGCCTACCAAGTGTTGTGACCCTTTCTTTGTGACTGAAGGCCCAAGGTGCAACCATTTATTCTTTACTTTGGAGGGAATGTTGCAGCATGCCACTGCCCTCTAGACCTCTAAAAATGTCATTGAAGCATCGGGTGCCTGAATCTGCATAGGGTGTCTCTCACCCTCTGGGGGCATGTATTTTACCAAAGTATCTGGAATACTTGCCAATTTTTTAAGGTATAATTAACTTTATGTAATTGGTATAGTGAACCAACATGATGTTCTATGGGATGTCCAGATGATCTAGGTCCCTTTTACTATATTATGACAGAGAACAGAAGAATTAATATAGTGAAATCACAAATTTAAACAGTTGTCCATCCTAGGCAAAGGTGAACTTCTGCTATCCTTCTGGAGATATTGAAACTCATTGGTCAGATCAATAGCACTTAACCTTTGATGTTCTGGAACTCTTCAACTAAGCCCCAGACATTCAACAATATATGTCCTCTAGCTACAAGAGGTGACTCTCACTATCAAGCAGGTCCTCTGACATTCAAGCTTAATCATAAAATTAATGATTAAGTAGCATGACCCTGCAATTTTCAATATTATTGATACTGATCAATTCTACACCCATATAATTACCGTTTCTCCTGTAGCTGTCAAACACATGAGCTGATGCACTAGTCAGTACATCTATTCCATTTATTTACCATAACAACTAAAAGTCTTGGTAATTTCACTGCTATGCATTTAGAAATTACCAATATTCCACCTGTCACCAGTCACAGTGTCATTACAAGCCGAATGGTGGGTAACCTATATCTAGATTCCAATTCTGAGAGTAGGCTTCCTAGAAACACCCAGTTTCTGGTACCAACTGTCTTGACTTAATTCATGAGAAGCTGAATCTAAAATGATAATTATTTTTGCAAGTTGCTTAGGGAAGAAATGCTCTCAGGAGAAACCTGTGAGAGAGTGAGGGAAGCAGAACTGGCAAGGACTATAGTTAAACATGGATAGAGTTTCAAGTGAAGTCTAAATTCAGCCTGATCCTACAGGGAGATCTGGAGAGGAATTGTACCACAGAGCCTACTGTGCCTTGAAACGTGAAAACTGGAGTTTGTGAATCCTCACACTTTTCAGAATTCCCCCTAGAATTCTGAAGGAAGTATCTCCAATACCCCAAGGCAATCTTCTAGGGAAGTCTGTAGTGGGCCATTAGCAGCAGCATCCACAATAGCTAGATGATGGAGGAAATGAACCAAACCAGTAAAGGGGTACTTTAGGATCAGAGTAAAATACCAGCAGAGTCGATGGTAGAAAAATAATTTCAGGGATAAATATCCCCTTTATAATGGAAAGATTTATAGGCAAGGAAGATCATGATGACGGTGTAAATTTTAAATCACCAAATCCCTTTTAAAATCAGAGCCACTAGAATATTAAATAAATTTAAAAACAAACACGTATTTAGAATCTTCCTCAAGCTATTCTCATGAACCAAAGATTCTAGTACAAGAGGAGGGAGCCAGGGAATGCAAAATAAACACAACAGGAAAACCTCCAGAAGACCTATATAACATCGTCAGCTATTGGTACAGAAAAAGTAAAATTTCTAAGGATACTAAGACACAAAGCAAACTGTTAAAGAATTCTCAGAGGCAGATACACAACTAGGATTCAGAAGCGATGGAAATGTTTCAGAAATGAAAGATGGAGCATTTCAAATGCAGAATAACCAAGTATCAACTATAAAAGGAAAAAAAGGACTGAAAGGAATTCATGGAATTTAACACTGTAGAGGTAAGTGATACTTTTGCCAGAGGAATTTCAGAAAACTGCATTGGATCAAAGCCTGTCTGCAGTTAAGCAAGGAGGAAATGGCTTTACATTTAGAATTATGTGAGCTTACACCTATTCCTAAATGAAGACTTCATAGTGGATTATATCTTCATTACGGTATAGACTTTTACCGATAGAGAATTACTAAGCCTTATGTTTCTCAATTAGGAAGGAAATTCCTCAGATAATTACACAACTACATGATTTCAAATTTTTCACTGGCCTTCTACACAATTTAGATGGAGTTATGAGTAATAGAGAAGCTGTCTTACTGTATGAAAAATTTTATTTTAGCAGAATCCTCATTTTCAGCACCCACTTCCCTTTTCAAATTTAAGACCCAAATTGTTTGGGGCAAGGCATTTCTACTCCATGTTTGACTCTTTCTTTGCTCCTCACTTCTTTCTACAATTTCAGTGCAAGCACCAGAGAAAGTAGAAATGCTGCCTCATAAGAAGTCCCAAGCTCACCCTGGCCCAGAGCCACTTGGTATTACACAACTGTCTTTCTGGGAGGAAAAGGACTTATATAGGTTTACCAGTTTCAGCGAAGGCCGATTTCAGGCTGCCACTTGATATTTTTAGAGGCGGAGTTGGGAAGAGACACCAGTTGCACACTACAGTATAGTAATTTCACTACAGATACAATAGCCATAATCTCAAGAACAGAGAGTAAAATACAATAAAATAATTAAGATATGCTTTAAATATTCGTTTTTAATTTACTTACATTTATATAATTTGATGTTTTAATAATGACTCACAAAACTTCTGAATTTTTAAAAATATTGTGGCAAGAACCCTTAACATGAAATCTACTCTCTTAACAAAATTTAAGTGTACCATACATTATTACTGACTACAGATACAATGTTGTACAGCAGATCTACAGCCTATTCATACTGCTTAACTGAAACTTTATGCCCACTGTTAGTAACTACCCATTTCACCATCCTGTCAGTCCCTGGAAACCACAATTCTATTCTTTGAGTTTATAAATTTGACTATTTTATCTACCTCATATAAGGGGAATCATGCAATAGTTACCATTCTGTGACTGGCTTGTTTCACTTAGTGTAGTGTCCTCAAGATTCATCCCTGTCGTTGCATGTTGCGGATTTTCTTCTTTTAAAAGGATGAATAGTATTCCATTCAGCCTTCAAAGGTGCATATATCACATTTTATTTATCCACTCACCTACTGATGGACATCTAAGTTGTCTCTACATCTCAGCTATTGTGAATAATGCTACAATAGACACAGGAGAGCCAATATCTCTTTGTGGTCCTGATTTCAATACTTTTGAATACTCAGAAGTGAGTTTATTGGATCATATAGTCATTCCATTTTTAATTTTTTGAGGAACTTCCATACTGTTCCCCGTAACAGTTGCAGCATTTTATATTCCCACCATGCAATGGTTCCAATTTCTTTACATCCCTGCCAATACTTGTCTTTATTTTTTTAATAAGAGCAAAATGTCTAATTGTTTAACAATCAGCTCTCGTGAGCTGACATGAACTGCCTCCAATACACCACTCCAAGGAAGCTGAGAAACAAGCAGATCTAGGTTCAGTGGCTCCTGAGCTATATAAAGCTTGATGAACTCTGAGAAAAAGAATACAAAATTAGGCCCATGACTTTGAAAAGAACCTATGCAAGCAAGTGGCTCTGATGCTTTTGCTTCCTTAGCTTCATGATATGTCAAGGCAATACTTGGTAACAGGTATCTTAACACACTAAAGAGGGCATACAGCTTTCAAAGAGGAGAAGCAGTAACAAGAGAAGGACTATATTCATATATCTGAGTAAATGCCACTGGGACAAGTCACAAGCCAACTGAAGGCTAGGAGCTCTGACGGAAGGAGGAAAGCCAGACTGAGGGAGGGAGATTCAGGTCACCAGAAAGGGCAAAGGGAAAGGGGATATTCTCTATCCTTGCATCATGAGGCTGAGCCGACAGGCCCTCCTGCTGTCGTGGGATGAGGGCCCTAGGCTGCTCTCCCCTGATTCAGACCCTCTTCTGCATTCAAGTTGGAGTAGTAGGGCGAAAGTTGAGGCTGAAAATACAGTAGACACCAGACATAATTCAGGTGATTCAGAAGCAGATGATTTATTATTTCATAATTTAAACCTTCAGCAGTGACATCAGAGGTGAGGAATAAATTATGTTTTTCTCTTCTTGGTTTAGCCAGTTTCTGATTATTTATTTGGATTTATCCCCTCTCCAGGCCAAGGTTGTCAGAGACTGTTGCTGTAAGAGAAAGCGAAACAAAATACAACACAAACAAAATTATCTGAGCTGCTTCTTTTTTTCTGAGCTAACATATTTCTAACACAAGTAGTTTAAAAGGCATGGATAACTGAAAAGAAACAATCATGGAAATGAAAACTAAATCCAGAAAAAACAACTATCTATTACCTCTACTGCAAATACTCTGAATTTTATAAGAGAAACGGCTTTATAAATACTCTAAGTGTTTATTTATCCATGTTTAGTACGATGATTCACACACTCTGATACACATACAATTGACTGAATACATTAAGAAAGGAGAGTCAAGTCAATATTTGGGCATTCCAAGGACTCCAGGTGAAGAGGATCTTTAGATCGTTAAAATCTAAAATCACTTCAGAATTATGAAAAATGAAACTAGTTAAGCATCAAATAAGGTTAAAATGTTTATTGTAAACTTAAGTACAAGAGCAAAAATGACAAAATATTTTTGGAACCAAGAGAAATGATGTTTAAAAAATAGGAATTTATTAACAGTATGCTAGATCTAAAAACCCAACTTGCATCAGAAAAATCAGCGAAGTAAGATATGGAAGAAGGTAAAAATATACCAAGCATCCCTAATACTAAAAGGAGTCTCAATAATGCCTCTAGTTCCATATGGTAATAATGCATACTTTTCATTTCTATGCCATACTCTTTATAGAAATAGCTCCTTACTATATGACATAATGAAAAATAAAAATAAAAATCAGTAGGATAATAAAAAAATTGTAAAACTTAAGATATACTATCTCTCAGAAAATATACCAATCACATGTCCAATTGACTAAAAGTAAATAATTTATGAAGTTACAACATGACACATACACATTGGTGGTGATCATTACAACTAGGTAATTTGGCAATAGATATCAGTAAGAGATAAGAGTGTACACACTCTATTTATGCTTTGATCAATCTCTCTTCTAGAGATTTATTCTGAGACTATAATCAAACAATTGCTCCAAAATGTGTATCCATTTAAGGATATTATTTACAGGGAGTATGTAACAATGAAAAACTGGAAGTACTCTAATTATTCATAAAAATGGATTTTAAAATAAAGTATTTTTCATTTTTAAATTCAAACACCGAATGTCAGAAAAGAATTATATGGGCCTACTTTTAAGATAGGGAACATGGTCCATAATAGCACCTAAATTTAAAAAAAAGGTATTTTTATGTATATTTAGAAAAACATTTAAGATATGCATCTATATTGTTAATGGAAATCATCTTTGTGTTTTGATTATGAAAATGTATCGTTAATTCATACGTCTACCAAGGTAATTTAGATATTTTAATAAATATTTGATAATATATTAACAATCAGAAATATGAAGTTTGAACATAAAACGATCTACATTTCACCTGGATATCCCTATTTTTCTTTCATATACATTTCAGAATCTTTTTCTCAATTCTCTGTACCCATGTATTCAAAATAGATTTTCATTGAGTTTAAAATATAGAGAAACCTAAAATAGATAATTGATGTTGGAAAAGAAGAGGCTAAGTTTTAAAGTTAAAAGATAAAAAAAGGAGAAGTAAAGACAATCAGCTTTAAGTTAAATGGAAAAGGAAAGAAAAATATTTTAGATAATAAGACTCAAAATTCATGGGGAATTTCTTTTGTCATAAGTCTAGAAAATAAATGTTGCATTATAAAGTAAATATAAAATTTAAATATGATACATAAGATAGTTTTAAAAATAAAAATGTAGGTTACAAATTTGATTGAAACCTAAGAGTTTTCGGTGATGCTAAACTGCTGAACTGTAATTTACAATTGCTAAGATCTGGAAAGAGCCCAAACCCCCCATTAGTAGATGAGTGGATAAAAAAGTATTTACACCATGGAATACTATGGAGCCCTAAGAAAGAGGGATCCCTTGCCCTTTGGGACAGCGTGGATCTTCCCAAAGAGTATTATGCTAATTGAAATAAGCCAGTGAGAGAAAGACAGGCATCACATGATCTCACTCATATGTGGAACCTAACAAACAAAATAAACTGATGAACAAAACAGATTCAGAGATACTGAAACATGCAACAGACTGAGGGGGAGGGGGTATCTGTGATACTTTCCACAATAAAGATTAAACCTATAAAAAAAAAGAGTTTACCAGGATATCCCCATTTGGTTTAGTGGAGACCACAAAGAGACTGGTAGGAAGTGTGGTCGCAAGAGGGCTGGCTGGGTTCTCACAGGCAGCAGCTGAAGGTCCAGAGGGATATCTCAGCTGTAGGGAGTTTCCACTGAGGACTCTGGGGCATAAACCCCAGGATGGGCTTCCCAGCCCAGAGCACCAGAACTGAGAAAAGTGCCCACATAACATCTGGCTGTGAAAAGCAGCCGAGTTTCTATCTGCCAGGGAGAGGCAGCTCAAACTGCAGGCACCCTCTTAAAGAGCCAACGCACAACGGTTCCTGTGCAGCCACTCACCTTGGGCCGTATACGGCACAGGTAGAGGGAAGTGGACTGCAGCTGTGTGGGGAGAGTCATTCCCCTAGACTGTGGGGGACATCTTTCTTGGGAGGCAAACTTGGCTTTTGGCTTTTGGCTTTTGGCTGAGGGGGGAAGCAATTGCCCCACTCTCCTGGAGATCCTCTCACCCTACCCAGAGGAGTTTCTATAGCCTGAGGCTTGTTAAGAGACTGATAACAACCAGCTGCCCCACCTGTGGAGCTTCTATAGCCTGAGGCTCATTAAGAGAATCAGATTAACCAGTCTGCAGACTGAGGCAAACCTCAGGCTGCTCTGAGTCTTTGCCTGATCTGTTTTGGGACCCAGGCCTTAGAAAAACAGACTTTGCTGTGCATCTCGGTCCTGTCCAAACCCATCCAGCCCCAGCAGTGGAGACCTCAAGCCTGGGGTTGTTGATAGCCCCAATCAGGGTATTCAGGGCCAGTCACAAACTGCACCTGACACTGGCCTGTACCAGAGACCCTCCAAAAAGACTGAGAATCCTAGCAGATCTACCTAACATTTAGCCAAAATGGGGAGACCAAAAAACAAGCCCCAATGAAAGAGCAAGAGAAGTCTCCAGAAAAAGAGCCAAATGAAATGGAGATAAGCAATCTCTCAGATATAGAGTTTAGAATACTAATTGTAAGGATGCTCAACAGCATGAAAAAAGATTTGGAAACTATGAAAAATGACCAGTCAGCAATGAAGGATGACATAGCAGAAATAAAGAATACATTAGAAGGAATAAGCAGCAAATTAGAAGAAGCTGAGGATCGGATCAGTGAATTAGAAGACAGGGTAGAAAAAATCACTGAAACAGAGACCCAAAAACAAAAAACAATGAAAAAACAGGAGGACAGTCTAAGGGAGCTGTGGGACAGCATAAAACATAACAATATTCATATTATAGGAGTGCCAGAGGTTGAAAGTAAGCAGGGGTTAGAGAACCTGTTTGATGAAATAATGGCAGAAAACTTCCCTAACCAGGTCAAGGAAAAAAGCACACAGGCTCTGGAGGCACAGACAGTCCCCAAGCAAGAAGATTCCAAAGAGGCCCACGCCCAGACACATCATAATTAAAATGTCAAAAATCCAAGACAAAGAGAGAATCTTAAAGGAAGCTAGAGAAAAGCAATCTGTTACTTAAAAGGAGCTCCCGAAAAGCTGTTATCTGACTTCTCATCAGAAACTCCACAGGCCAAAAGGGAATGGCATGAAGTATTCAAGGTAATGCAAAAGAAGGATCTGAAACCAAGACTACTCTGTCCAGCAAGATTATCAATCAGGCTGGATGGTGAAGTAAAGAACTGAGACAAAAAAAGGTTAAACAATTTATCACTACAAAACCAGCATTACAGGAAATATTAAAGGGTCTGCTATAATTAGAAGTAGAAATAAAGAGAATGAGAAACAGCTATAAAGAAACAAAATGTCAGTGGATACGTATCTTTCAATAATAACCTTAAATATAAACAGATTAAATGCCCCAATAAAGAGATATAGAGTGGCTGAATGGATAAGAAAACATGACCCAACTATATGCAGTCTACAAGAGACCCACCTCAGAACAAAAGACTCACACAGGATGAGAGTGAAGGGATGGAAAAAATTTTTCCATGCAAATGGAAATGAAAAAAAAAAGCTGGGGTAGCAACACTCATATCAGACACAATAGACTTCAAAATGAAGACCATAATGAGAGACAAGAAAGGTCATTAAATAATACTAAAGGGATCAATCCAGCAAGAGAATATAACCCTGATAAAGATATATGCACCCAGTATAGAAGCACCTAAGTTTATAAAAAAACTTCTAACGGACTTTAAGGGAGAGATTGGCAGCAATAGTCATAGTAGGGGACTTTAACACCCCACTGACTTCACTGCATAGGTCTTCCAGACAAAAAATCAACAGGGAAACAGTGACCCTAAATGATACACTAGATCAGATGGATTTAATCGACATTTACAGAACATTCTACCCCAAAGCTGCGGAATATACATTCTTCTCAAGCGCACACGGGACATTCTCAGAGAGACTACATTTTAGGACAAAAAACAAGCCTCTTTAAGTTCAAGAAGACTGAAATCATATCAAGCATCTTCTCAGATCACGATGGCATAAAATTAGAAATCAACTACAATTGCCAGGCCGGGCATGGCTCAGTGGTTGAGCGTCGACCCAGGATCCAGGCGATCAGGGTTCAATTCCCGGTCAGGGCACATACCAAGATTGTGGGCTCGATCAATGCCTCTCTCATCATTGATGTTTCTGTCTCTCTCTCCCTCTCCTTTCCTCTCTCTGAAATCAATAAAGATAAAAAAATAAATAAATAAAAAATTTTTAAAAAGAAAAAAAGAAATCAACTACAATAAAAACACTAAAACACATTTAAACACATGGAGACTGAAAAGCATGTTTTTAAACAATGAATGGGTTACCAAAGAGATTAAGAAAGAAATAAAAAACTTCCTGCAAACAAATGAAAATGAACACACAACAACTTCAAATCTATGGGACACAATGAAAGCAGTCCTGAGAGGGAAGATGCTAGCACTACAAGCCTACCTCAAACAACAAGAAAAACTTCTAATAGACTCTTTAACCCTATAACTTAAAAACTTAGAAAGGGAACAACAAGAAAAGCCCAGAGTTAGTAGAAGGAAGGAAATAATAAAGTTCAGAGGAGAAATAAATGACATCAAGACCAAAAAATCAATACAAAAGATCAATGAAACCAAGAGCTGGTTCTTTGAAAAGATAAACAAGATTGATGAACCTTTAGCCAGACTCATGAAGAAACAGAGAGAGACGACGGAAATAAACAAAATCTGAAACGAAAGAAAGGAAACAGCAACTTACCCAACAGAAATACAAAGGATTGTTATGAACAACTATATTCCACCAAGTTGGACAAACTGGAGGAAATGGACAAATTCCTCGGGAAATGCAACCCTTCAACACTCAATCAGGAAGAGTCAGAAAACCTGAATAGGCCGATAACTGCTGATGAAATTGAAACAGTAATCAAAGGTGTCCCAGCACACAAAAGCCCTAGCCTGGATGGCTTCACAGAGGAGTTTTACCAAACATTCAAAGAAAAACTAACACCTATCCTCCTCAAACTCTTTCAAAAAATCCAAGAGGAACGAACACTTCCAAACTCTTTCTAAGAGACCAGCATTAGACTGATTCCAAAACCAGAAGCTACAATGAAAGAGAATTACAGTCCAATATCCCTGATGAATACAGATGCTAAAATCCTGAAAAAAATATTAGCACATTGGATTTAGCAATATATTAAGAAGATCATACACCATGACCAAGTGGGATTTATTCCAGGGATGCAAGGCTCGTACAATATTCACAAATCAATAAACATGATGCATCACATAAACAAATTGAAAGATAAAAATCACATAATCATATCAATAGATGCAGAAAAAGGATTCGATAAAATCCAACAACATTTTTGATAAAAAATCTCAGCAAAGTGGGAATAGAGGGATCATACCTCAACATAATAAAGGCCATATATGACAAACCTACAGCCAATGTCATAATCAATGGGCAAAAACTAAAACCATTTCCCTAAGAACAGGAACAAGATAGATAGGGGTGTCCACATTCACCACTCTTATTCAACATAGTACTGGAAGTCCTAGCCACAGCGATCAGATAAGAAGAAAACATAAAAGGCATCCAAGTTGGAAAAGAGGAAACAAGATTGTCATTATTTGCAGATGACATGATATTGTACATACAGAATCCTAAAGACTCCACCAAAAAACTACTAGATTTAATAAATGAATTCAGCAAGGTAGCAGGATACAAAATTAATACCCAGAAATCGATGGCATTTTTATACACCAATAATGAACTCTCAGAAACAGAAACTAAAAAAACAATCCCATTTACCAATGCAACTCAAAAAATAAGATATTTAGGAATATACTAAATGAAGATGTAAAAGACCTTTACTCAGAAAACTACAGGACACTGAAAAAAGAAATAGAGGAAGATAGAAACAAATGGAAAAATATACCATGTTCATGGATTGGAAGAATTAACACCATTAAAATGTCCATATTACCCAAAGCAATCTATAAATTCAATGCAATCCCTATTAAAATACCAACAGCATATTTCACAGATCTAGAAAAAACACTTCGAAAATTTATATGGAACCAAAAAACACCCCAAATAGCCATGGCAATCCTGAGAAAGAAGAACAAAGTTGGAGGGATCACAATACCAGATGTCAAGTTATACTACAAAGCCCCTGTAATCAAAACAGTCTGGTACTAGCATAAGAACAGACATATAGATCAGTGGAACAGAACAATAACCCAGAAACTGACCCATGCCGCTATGGTCAATTAATATTTGAAAAAGGAGGCAAGAACATTCAATGGAGTTAAGACAGTCTTTTCAATAGATGGTGTTGGAAAAATTGGACAGATACATGCAAAAAAATGAAACTAGACCACCAACTTACACCAGACACAAAAATAAATTCAAACTGGATACAAAGACTTAAATGTAAAGCATGAAACCATAAAAATCCTAGAGGAAAATATAGGCAGTAAAATCTCAGACATCTCTCATAGCAATATGTTTGCTGATACCTCTCCTAGGGCACGAGAAACTAAGGAGAAAATAAACAAATGGGACTGCATCAAAATAAAAAGCTTCTGCACAGCAAAAGAAACCATCAACAAAACGAAAAGGGATCCCACTCTACGGGAGAACATATTTGCCAATGACACATCTGAGAAAGGGTTAATATCCAAAATATATAAAAAGGAAGACAAACAATCCATTTAAAAAATGGGCAAAGGATCTAAATAGATATTTGTAGTGGCTAAGAGACATATGAAAAATGCTAAATAGACACTTCGAATGTCCTAAAGAGAGCCTACAAATGGCTAAGAGATATATGAAAAAATGCTCAACATCTCTAATCATCAGAGATGCAAATTAAAACCACAATGAGGAATCACTTCACACCTGTCAGAATGGCTGCCATCAACAATTCAATGATCTACAAGTGCTGGCGAGGGTTCAGAGAAAAGGGCACCCTAGTACACTGCTGGTGGGAATCTAGACTGGTGCAGCCACTATGGAAAGCAGTATGGAGTTTCCTCAAAAGATTAAATATTGACCTGCCATTTTGACCCAGTGATCCCACTTCTAGGAATATATCCTAAGGAACCCCAAACACCAATCACAAAGACAAAGAACTGATGCACCCCTCTGTTCATAGCAGCACAATTTACAATAGCTAAGATCTGGAAACAGCCCAAGTGCCCAACAGTAGCTGAGTGGATAAAAAGCTGTGGGACACATACACCATGGAATACTAAGCAGCTGTAAAGAGGAAAACCTTTTAGCCTTTGGCACAGCCTGGAGGGAGCTAGAGAGTATTATGCTCAGTGAAATAAGCCACTCAGTGAAAGACAAGTACCAAATGATCTCACTTATATGTGGAATATAATAAACAAAGTGGATCCAGAGACATAGAAGCTTGGAACAAACTGAGGGATCTCAGCGGGAAGGCTGGGAGGGGGTGTGTGGGCGGGGAGAGATTAATCAGGGAACTTGTATGTTTACGGGCATAGCCCATGGATGCGGACATTGGTGTGGGGAGGGCATGGGAAAAGAATAAATAAATAATGTGAGGAGACCTTAAAAAACAACAACAACAAAAAAGAGTCTATATGCCTATAAGTAAAAACTGAAATAGATACGAAACTTTGGAACATGCTGCTAAATAAAATAATGCGTATCAAAAAAATAAAATTGAAATAAAATAAATGAAATAAAAGTATACTGTACCAATGTATACTCCCACCTACAATGTGTGAGAGTCCTGGTTGTCTCATCAACCCTTGATGTCAGTCCTTTTAATTAGATCCACTCATAAAAATGTAGGGGACCCTCATATTTATTTTAATTGGTCTTTTCTGATGATTAATGGTGTTGAGCATGTTTTTGTGTTTTAAGACCCTTTGATATTGTCTCCTGTGAAGTGTCTCTTCAAATATTTTGACTACTGGGTTCTCCCAACTTTTGCTAATGATTTGTACGAATTCTCTACATATTCTGAATATGAGTCCTTCATTGGAAATATGTATTGTAAAAGTATTTTCCCACTTTATGACTTCCCTTTTCCCTTTTATAAGGAAGTCCTTTGGGAAGCAAAACATTTTAAATTTTTAAAAATTTTATTGTATGTTTTTATGTATGTTTTGGGCATACAATGCAAAATGATTAATCACACTGTTCTACACTCACCTTACACTTGGGGATAACGTGCTGTTATTGCTGCCTTCTTCTGACACAGACCTGTAAAATTAATAAAACTTATTTTAAAGTGGGGAAATTTTAAAATCTTAATTGACTATTTGAATAAAGGTTTTCAAAGAAAGAGTGATTCATTAAATGAAATTTCTTCTTCTAACAACATAAAATAATACAAACAAAACAGATGCTGTCTCAACATTAGAACAAATGCCACTACCAATATGGTTTGTTGATGAACTCTTATCCTCATCTTACATTTATTCAAGTGTTTATGTTATAAGCCACATTTGCACAGACAGGTCCCCTGATTCTATGTTATCCCTAACACCTCAGGTCAAATTAAGCCAAATAACCCCTAAGTAGTAGTCAAAAATTTTGGTTAAATTTTCTATATGTTTGTACATATTTTTTTCTTCCTCTCATAACACATTCTTCATGTACACTCCTCCTATCAATTTTTGAAAGGCAAAAGTAGAGGTAAATACTTCTGTGGGAAAATACAGTAGATTATTAATAAAGGTCTCAATAATGATATTTAAATATTTGGGTAACGCAGCTAGCAGAGTTGTCCGGTGGTAGCCTGCTGGGCTCATAAATATTTGTATAACTGATTACAGGTAATATGGTGATTTCACTTATTAACCTGGTGTATCCAAAATTTTATGCTACATTGGAAAGCTATTATTATCTCCCATTTTATTGTTATGGAGAATAATTTTAAGAGCATAAAGACATCATAGCTTTTACATGCAGGTTCATAGATATCTCTAGTTGAAAGAGGTGCTCTAATAATGTTGTTTACCACTGGTCTGAGACTTCGTATCTAAAACATTTGTGTTTTCAAAGTTCCCTTGAAATGCAGCATCACCTAGTCTCATGAAGCCCATCGACAATAAAACTATTTTGACAGGTCAGTGGACCTAGGAGATTGAATAAAGCACAATATTCAAGGCACCCATATGTCCTTTTAAAGTGATTCTCGAGGTAAAATGAGTAAAATTAGAAAAAACATGGACGATACCAAACCTGTTTGAAATATATCCCTGGGCCTCCCCCACATTGCTTTACCTATAGTCTTAGATTACTCCTGATGAAATTTGAATACTTTTTTCTTGGCTTTTCTAATAAGAGTTTTATATATATATACCTCTCACTTCCAGTTTCATCTCTGTAGCATAGCTCTCTTATTTTATCCTGCTTTATTAAAACAGCAGCAATAATGATAAGCAAAGGTAAAGAAATGTAGAAAATCAGTTGAATTTGGCGTTTCGGAGATCTTTGGATGGAGAAACTTTTACCTAAAACAGAAAATGCCCATTTCAAATTATGTCAGAGATTTTGTTAACCAAATGAAAAGGTGAAAAGAGTATCATTACCAACACTATTCCCAAACATTAAACATTTTATACATATATAATAAAATCCAAAAAAGTCAAATGTACAAAATGAGATGTTACTAGTGCTTTACTAATGATTTTGCATTTTCCACCTTCTACCATATGGTGATATTTTTGGCTGAAGGTAACGTCCTTTCATGAAGCACATGCTTAATACTTGCAAACACTTTTTCAATTCTGTTCTGATACAGCTTCTCCGAAATTCAAATGTGCATACTACAGAGATTATTGGGATTATACCTAAATGTAAGAATTAAACCTGGGTAATGTGGCATTTAACTTCTCTTATATTACTCCAATTATTTTCTAAAAATTAAAAATTAGTAGTCACTAAATAACTTAGCTATTTAACTAAGTTGTTTAATCAAATATGTAGCAGTAGAAAATACAATCTCCGTAGGATTATTTTATCGAATGCATGACTAAGCCTGATGTTAACCCATTATTGACTAACTAGTGCTAATATCTACACTGTTCTCATCAGTTCTTATTCATTCTCAACTGAGAATGTGGCTCCTCAGGTTCCACTTCATTGTATATATTAGCCACCTTTCTGGATTTATACTGTTCAGTTCACTGGATTTATCAAGTTCAGTTCACTTTCTCCATAGTTTCTTGGCCTGCCTCCTTGTATGAGATACAGAATACTGTTCTATCTCTTCTTTGCCAATTGGAACAAAAGAGGAGGTGACAGGCAGAGAAGCCACTCTCCAACCACACTTATCTATGACCATTGAGTCTCAATATACTCCTATTATTCCTGCCCCGGAGTTTCTGCCTTTTTCCCACAATGTTTTTCAAGTGAGGTCCAGGTAGAAAGTTCAACACTTTGTCTGTCTGCTTCGTGCATGTGATTGGGGTTCCCAGTATTATTAGGATAAGGATATTATATTTGTAATCAGAAAGCCACTGAATGAGATGAAGAGATCAGCCTCTCTGGCTATACGCTGCAGATTGATTTCTCAACCCCTTGTATAATCTTTTGGGTAATCAATGACACTGCATGAGTTATTTGAAAAGAATGTAATATATTCCCAGGTGGGCTCAGAAGCATGAGTAGGATTTCCAGGAACCAGTAAAATTGGTCTTACTTTTTCCCCCTATACTACTATCTAGTTTTAACAAGCACTACTAATAACAGCCAAGAAAGAATATTTTCTATTAACTCTCCTTTCACGTTGGTGTTCTTCATTTAATTAATTACTCTGGGTCTCCATTTTCCACTGGTCAAAACTAGTCCCCAGTAATCTGCCTCAAAGCTCTTCTACTTCATTCCAAAGATGCTTTCGGGAATCATCCAGGCATTTAGCTATTCATGGCTTTTCCCCTCCTCCCTTTTATTACCCCAAACTGTTTTAGCCTTTATTACTAAAGGGTTTAATTGTCAAATAAGACTCCCCAAAACACAGATCTTACCCACAACAAACATTATAGTCAAACATCAGGTACGTAAATAAAAGATTTTCTCCCGGAGGAGCCTGAATCCATCAGCTGCATCTCTCAAAGATGTCCCTTAGTTGTTTTTTTCCCCCCCAGACATTCAAGCTGACTCCAGAAAAAAAAAAAGATGAAAGTTTTAAGTAAAGTAAAAACAATATTGCTCATAATGGAAGCTATCTCAGTTTTTGTACTGTTAAAAACACAGCTTACATGATTATCTAGTTTCTCCAATTAACTATTCGGTCATAAATCAATACATTTCAAGTTTATAAAAATAACCTATGTATACAGAGAAGTACATCCTGCCAAAAAATACTCTTGATGTGGGTGGTAGTTAATTTTATGTGTCATCTTGATTGGGCCATGTGCCCAGATATTTAATTAATTATTATTCTGGGGGTTTCTATGAGGGTGTTTGATATGACATTAACATTTACATCAGTAGACTGAGTAAAGAAGATTGCCTTCTCTAATATGAGTAGGCCTCATTCAATCATCTATAGGTCTTAATAAAACAAAAACACTGACCTTCTTGAGAATAAGAAAGGGTTCTCCCTGACTGAGGAAACTGAACTTAGACATTGGCTTTTCCTGGGTTTCAAGCCTACCAGCCTTTCGACTGGAACTATACCATCAGCTCTCCTAAGGCTAAAGGTGTGTCAGCTTACCCTGCACATCTTCGGACTTTTCAGCCTCCATAAACACGAGCCGATTCTTTAGAGTCAATCAATCAATTGCTCTCTCTCTCCCTCTCTTTTTCTCTCTCCATACACACACACACACACACACACACACACACAC